CCCGCAGCGGCGCCGGCAGCGCCTGGCGCAGCGACGAGATCAGCCGCCAGCCGGCCTCGTAGCACCGCGGCTCCTCGGCGCCGGGGGGCTGCGGGGGGCACGTGTCGGGGGAGTGCGGGGTGCCCGGCGTGGAGCCCTGAGGGACGCCCCCGGGAGACCCCCGGGATGGGCATGGCACACCCAGGAGACCCCCAGGAGACCCCCAGGATGCACCCAGCGTGGGCATGGGACACCCAGAACACCGCCAGGAGACCCCCGGGATGGGCATGGGACACCCAGAACGCCCCCAGGAGACCCCCAGGATGCACCCAGCGTGGGCATGGGACACCCAGAACACCCCCAGGAGACCCCCGGGATGCACCCAGGATGGTCATGGGACACTCCAGGGGACACCTGTGACACCCAGGGGCCACCCAACCACATCCAGAGGACCTGGGGGTCACCTGTGACACTCGGGGACACCCAGGATTCCCAAAGGACCCCCGTGCCCCCCTCACCTGCGGCTGCTCTGACCCTTCCTTCTCCACCTGGGGTTGGTTCTCCAGCTCCTGGAGCCTGGGCACACACACAGGGTGAGCCCCCCCGGCCCCGAAAACCGCCCCCGCTGTCCCCGGGCCCCGTGCCCACCTCTGCAGGCGCATGTCGATGCCCTGCTGCTCCAGCAGCTCCCGCTGCGCCAGGTTCCAGTCCGGGGGGGGCCCGGGGGACGCCCCCCGCTCGCGCTCCCGCCGCGCCTGCTCCGGGTGCGTGAAGCGGAACACGTGGTTCTTGCCCAAAATGAGCCGGTGGCCTGGTTTTTGGGGGGGGGTTGGAGGGGTCACGGGGAGATTTAGGGGAGGCTCACGGGGAGTTTTGGGGGATTCAGGCGGGAAGCGGGAGTTTGAGGGCGTCATCAGTTCCAGAGAAGGGAATTTGGGGGGCACGGTGAGATTTGTGGGGAGGGGGGGTTCAAGTGAGAGCCGCAGGGAGCCGGTGGGGAGGGGGGATTTTGGGGGAGACACACAGAGACCTGGGAGGGCTTCGGGGGTCCCTACCCGACTTGAGCACCACCGGCTCCGTCACCTGCTTCCCGTTGACGTAGGTCTCAGCCCCCTGGCACGGCTCCAGCGTCACCACGACTTCGGGAGGGGACAACGAGAGCAGCACGCGTCACCTCCCCGCTCGGCTGAACCCCAAATCCCCCTCCCCAAATCCCCAGGACCCTCCCCGTCCCACCGGCACGGCAGCGGTACCTGGGGGGGGCCGTGCTGACCTGCTCCAATGGCAGCATTGGTGCCGCTCCAGCCTCAGCGCCTCCGTGCGCCTCAGCTTCTCCTCCCACGTCTCGTTGAGCTCCGCGATGATTTTCTCCGTCTCCTGGGGGGGAGAAACGATTTTTGGGGGTCCCCACGGTCGGGGGGAGGGGGTCACAGCCCCCCCCGCCCCCCCCCAGGCTCGCTGGGGATGGGGGCAGGGCGGGGAGGTTTTTGGGGTCACCTGCAGCCGCTCCATGGCCTCGGTGGGGCCCAGAGGGGGCTCCAGCCCCGGCTCCCCGTTGAGGGTGGGGGGCGAGGTGGCGGGGGGGCCGGACAGGGTGGTCTCGGGGACACCTGGGGCTGAGCAGCTCCCGCAGCCTCTGAGCACCCCCAAATTCCCCCCAAATCCCGCAGCCCCTCACCCTGAGCAGCTCCCGCAGCCTCTGAGCCCCCCAAATCCCCCCCAAATCCCGCAGCCCCTCACCCTGGGCGCTGAGCAGCTCCCGCAGCCGCGTCACCTCCTGGCGCAGCTCGCGGATCAGCCGCGCGTTCGGGTCCTCGTTGATCACCGCGTGGCAGCGGATCTGCTTCGTGCGGTCGGCGTAGCTGGGGTGGGGGGGGGACACACAGAAAAGGGTCGGGACCCCCGCCCGCGGGCAGGACGAGGGCGGGGGTCCCCGCCCAGAGCCCCCCCCGGCTCACCGCAGCGTGCTCAGCGTCTCCTCGTAGCTGCTGTCGGCCGGGCTGAGCGCGGCGATCATGGCCGTGCGTGAGTTCCCTCCTGGGGGGACGCCGTCAGCGGGGGGGCTGCGCGCCCCAAAACCCCCCCCCGCGACCCCCCTGCCCCTCCTCGAACCCACCCAGGTTCTCCTTCAGCAGCCACGTCAGCACCGAGTCCCGGTACGGGATGAAATCCGGCTTCTTCTTCTTGCTGGTCTGCTGGGGAGGAGGAGGAGGGAGGAGGATGGGTCGGGAGACCCCCCACCCCAAAAACAAGAGGGGACCCCCGAGGGTGGGGGAAAGGAAGGGGGTGACCCCCAGACTCACCGCCTCGGCCAGGGCGGAGATCACCTTGCCCAGCGTGGTCAGGGACTTGTTGATGTTGGCGCCTTCCTGGGGAGGAGGAGGAGGGGAGGAAGGCTCAGGAGGGCTCTGGGGGGATGGGGGAGGGGCGTCACCCCCTCTTTTTGGGGGGGTCCCCGCTCACCTTGAGGCGCACGCCCCTGGCCCCCGAGGCGTCGGCGCGTTCGCTGCCCGCCAGGTCCACCAGGCTGATGCGGCTGACCTGGGGGGGCAGGGGGCTTTGGGGGGGTCTGG